ACAACTAAGCAAATAAGCAATTTAACCAACTAATATGAGATTAATATTCATCCAATTTCGTTTAAGCTGATGAAGGACTGGTAGAAGAAGAATTTTCCCACAATGATATCAGTTGAGCTGACGTTTCTATTCAATTTCACATGGCCTTGCTTTCCCAAAAGTTGTTCTCATCCTTAAACGAAATTGGGTAAATTCATGTCATATTGAGAGTTTATTTTATTTTTCGACTTAATTATTGTTTTCGTGACTATCAGTAAATCAGTAGTATGAGATGTATTCACCCAATTTGATTTAAGGTGATGAAGGACTGGTAGAAGAAGAATTTTCCCACAATGATATCAGTTGAGCTGACGTTTCTATTCAATTTCACATGTCCTTGCTTTCCCAAAAGTTGTTCTCATGTGAAATTGAATAGAAACGTCAGCTCAACTCATATTATTGTGGGAAAATTCTTCTTCATCACCTTAAACCAAATTGGGTGAATACATCTCATACTACTGATTTACTGGTAGTCACGACAACAATAATTAATTCGAAAAATAAAATGAATTCTCAATATGAGATGTATTGACCTAATTTCGTTTAAGGATGAGAACAACTTTTGAGAAAGCAAGGCCATGTGAAATTGAATAGAAACGTCAATCCATTTCATACTACTGATTTACTGGTAGTCTCGAAATTCTACTCTAATACTAAAATAATTAACCAACTAATCTTCATTCATTCACTAATTAGCCACTCACGCATTCATTCCAACCACATATTCAATCATTCTTTTATTCACACCATGTCTCAAGAACGCATTCATTCATTCATTCATTCAATCGTTTATTTAATCATCCAACTTACTCAACCATGTTCAATGTAACTAACTGCATTATACACTCGTTTACTCCTTCACAATAGCCTAACCATTCATCCATTCGGCCATTCACCCGATAATTCAATCACACATTTCACATTCTCGTTCATGCACCCAATTACTCACTAGCTCACTCAATCACTTGTTCGTTTGCACACTTGTCTACCCATTGCTTCAATCCTACTTGAAACGAATTATTCTCTTAATCATTTCTTCACTCGCCCATTCGCATTCACTCAATCATTCCAGCACTCACTCGGTCCAGCAAAGATTCACTCTCTTCTTCAACTATCCGCGCACACACGCACATTGAAATGACGTTTATTCATTTATTTATTCATTTTCACGTT